TGTCTTGATGTTTAGCACTAAAGAAATGCAAAGAACAAAAACAATATGGAGTTATATAGAGTGTCAGACACGTTTCGTGAAACATTTGTTTAGGCACCACAAGTAGAATCCACAAAAGCAATTTAGAGTGGGAGTCAATTTATCTACTACCTATGATATGTGCATTAAGCACGAAATTAAGGAACTTCCAGTTCAAATTTCTCCACAGGAGAATAGCCACAAACTCTTCCTGTTTAAGATTAAACTTTCGGAATCAAATCTTTGTTGCTTTTGTCAAACAGCACAAGAAACGTTGCTTCATCTTTTCTGGGAATGCCCAGTCACAGAAGCCTTTTGTAATAGCGTTCAACAATTTTTCATGAAATAGTTGTCTGGGTACCACGGGTAGAATCCGCAAATAATAATATTACAAACGGGGGGCACCCAACGGGGTACAATTTACTGTTTATGTGTCAGAAACCACAATTATGGGTCTCCTTTTCAGAAGTACTCTTATGCAAATATATATAGATGAAAATACAAGTTACTTTTTATCAAGATTTGCATGCCGGAAATACATTGATCCCTGACCAACACAGTTTGAGAAAGTAGCCCACAAATTTAATTTGATAAGCTGCAGTAAACATAGTTAGCCCAAATGCCAAACAGCTTTCAATCACAATAACAAGTGAAAGAGGACAACTCTCACAGCTTACCACCCATCAATTTATTTCCAATGGATGAAGCAACAGCAACTGCTTGTGCTGAAACAAAAAGACAGAACGTCATACTCACAAACTTACTGTGTTACAAGATTAAAGATTCTCTTATATCAGAATGTTTAGGAGACAATGTAATATGGTTTTGTAATGCTGTATTGCTCAAATAAGCTCCCTCGTAGCATCATTAAATCTAAAGTAAAACCTATTATACCTCTCAACTGAAACCAGTAACCAACTGAATCCAGCAAAAAACGCCGAATCAACAAAAGTTGCAAATAGCCAAACAAACACAGCATAACGCTAGCTACCTTCCCATTCCTTTCGACAAACC